TTTGAGACCATTGAATAGAGAGTGAGACAGACAGGGAGAATGGTATACAGGCAGAGAGATAGATAGGCTCAGCGAATGAGAAAGAAAGAATGAGAGATAAAAGGTGAGACAGGTAGAAAGATTGAGGCATGCAGAGAGAATGAGAGACAGAAAGAGTATGAGACAGGGAGAGATAGTAAAGGAGAGTGTCAGACAGGTTGAGAAAGAAGAATAGAGTGAGACAGGCAGAGAGAGAATGAGAAAAACTGTGAGAGAGAGAGTTAGACAGGCAGACCAATTGAGACAGACAAAAGAATGAGACAGAGAGAGTGAGACAGGCATCAAGAGCATCAGACAGACAGAGAGAAAGCATATCCACTTGAGTGGAATAGTGTGTTAGCAAGTTAGTATAAGAAGAATGAAACGGTAAAGGAATGCACAATGGAAGTCATACATGAGAGTAACACGGCACCTCCATATGAACCTCCTCCTGTGGCTGCCGTCTCTGATGACTCACAATCTCAGCCCATCTTTACCGCCACTGTGAAGAACAGACGACGCAGACACACAGGAGCGAGAGATAAAGCACAAGATCCTGCAATCAGCCCGAGACTGCGTGTTACAAAGAGCTTCCTCTCTCCCGCGTTTCCTGCGGCACCTCTGGAGTTCAGCAGACTAAGCGCTCCTCTCTCTTCTGCTTGCGATAAAAGTTTCTTGGCAGAACTAGAAAGGACGCGGATCGGGAAGAGATTCAGCTGACAAACTGCACACAGGCCTCGGAGCGAACAGACCAAAATAAGCTCCACAGGCACGAAAAAGAAACAACAGCCGCCCAATACAAAGAGGAAAGACAGAGAGAGATCTGCTTTCTTTCAGCTGTCACTCAGATTGTCGCTGAATCATGCCAGCTCGACATGAAAGCTCTGAATGCTGTCAGGATTCTGCTGCTTTTCTGCCTGCCCATTTGTTAACTTTTTTAACCTGTTGAGGTGCGAGTAATTCCTACAGACTTGGGTCTCAATGCTTGCTTCTCTTTCTGTCTGAGTCTTTAGAAGCGCGTCTACATCATTTCCTCAGGGCTTCAGTGATTGAATGACTGAAATGAAACGCACACACAAAGTTAAACTGATTTTGTTAAAGTACCAATTAGATCTGCCAGCCAGTTCCTTTAATCTACTCACAGAAAATCATTTTGTGGCACTTTCTATGAAGGCTGTATATATTACATTACAAACTGTATTATATTATCACAAATAAATATTATTTATGAAAAGTTATAATAACTATTTATGGCTATGCCTGTAAAAAACTACAATTAATTAACACATAAAACAGTACAGCAAATTTGTTGTTGATCTTGTGCTGTAACACATTACACTATTTAAAATGTGACCTGGAATAGGTAAATATTAAAATGCATTATAATTGACAATTATTATAATACTGCAATTATTTACAATAACATGCAATGGATTAGTATGTCCATTATAATGTATTATAATTCTTATATGTATTATAATGCTGAAGGCAGTAATCAATCGAAATGGAATCCTTTTTTTTTTTTGGCTTATTTTTTTATTTAAAAAAATTGTAAATAAAGATTATTGGAGTATGTTTTACAAGAAAATACTATTTCAGTCTTTCTACTTCAAAATTTCACATTCAATACAATCTGTTAATTGATGTTTCTTTGTAAATAAAAATAATTGTAAAAAAAAAAATTTAATGTAGTATGTATCTAAAAGCATTATTATGTTATTTAATATTTAAAATATTTAAAGGGTTAGTTCACCCAAAAATGAAAATTCTGTCATTAATTACTCACCCTCATGTGGTTTTAAACCCGTAAGACCTTCATTCATCTTTGGAACACAAATTAAGATATTTTTGATGGAATCTGAGAGCTATCTGACCCTGCATAGACAGCAACGCAACTGAAATGTTCCCAAGTCCAGAAACGTAGCAAGGAGATCTGTAAAATAATCCATGT